TCACTTTCCAAGCAAAGCATGGATATGTATATATATATATAAAAGATTATATACAGTTTTTAGTTTTGCACTAGTTAATTATTATTTTTGTATATTTTAGAAATGACCACAGAAATACTAGACAAGGAAAAAGATTTGGCGATAGTGGCAGACAAGAAAGGGTGGACCCCACTTCACTACGCTGCATTCTATGAGCTTCAATTGTTATACAACTACTAGAAACTAATAAACGCAGTGCCTACATGGGTGACGAAGCTGATAAGAAGACTGCTCTTCACATTGCAGCCTCCAAGGGCCATGTTCATGTAATGAAACAACTTATTTCCTATTGTCCTGATTGTTGCGAAGTGGTCGACCGAAGACGTCGAAATGCTCTTCATTATGCCTTGGAGAAGAGTCAATCTCGAATTGTAGATATTGTTATGATGGATACATGGCTTAGCAACGTCCTCTTAAATGCCAAGGATGTTGACGGCAACACACCCCTCCATCTACTTAATGCTCCTCTCAACACCCGGATTCCTTTCATTGCTGATGGTAGGGTTGATAAGATGGCATTCAATAAGGAAAACATTAACGCTCTCGACGTCATCAAAGATAATGATGATTTAGAATATAAGGTATGATATTTCATTAAATTTGCTTATGTGTTTGAATGCTCGTACATGTCGGAATGATGAGCAGTAATTTAGACTGAGAGGGTTTGAATGCTCGTGCAAACTATTTTTTTATTTGATTTCGGAAAAATAACCAATTTAGTCTTCGTAGCTGTTGCTATTCCTTTTCAATTAAGTATCATCATGTGGACCTTTTCATTTAAGTACTACTTTGGTTAGGTTAAATTAATAATCCCTAGCCTCGCCCTCAATTATTAATTAGTTTGGTGATGATTTGTGTCGGAGATTCAACTGAAAAATTGCACCACTATACTCTTTGGTTTGTGTTGTAGATGCTTCTCATGAATGTTTTGAAAAGGAATGGTGCAGCATCAGGCCATCGAATTCTAAGCGAAAATAATCATGATGGCCAGAAATTAAAGGAAAACAAAGGTGGCGAAGACACTGAAACGGAGACAAAGATAAGAGAATCCCATCTGATAGTGGCTACACTCGTAGCAACTGTTACATTCGCAGCAGGTATCACCATGCCTGGTGGTTATTACCAAGCATCAGATCAGGGAAATGCCATAAGTAACGTATCACAGCGAAATGTTATGGGCCCGGGCCCGGCCCCGAGCAATGGACCAACTCCGGGTTATGCAGTTCTGACAAAAAATACAGCTTTCCAAATTTTTTATTTATCCAATATGCTAGCCTTGTGTTTGTCTACTTATTCTGTCCTTATGCACCTTTTCATATTGACACTCCCTGAGGGAAAAGAGATGAGGTCCAAACGGTTTTGGCGTTCTATTATATATACCACTATGACGTCTGTAGTTGCAATGATGATTGCATTCACTTCAGGCACATATGCAGTCTTAGGTGATTCTCCCCAACTCAGCCAAATCGGGTTTAATTGTTGTCACCTATGCGTTCTTTCTGGTATTTTATTATCTTCAATTTACTTTTTTTCCCGTAATCCAATATAGACTTAGGCTCCGCTTGTTTGCGATAAGAAAATGTAGACGTTACATCTTTTGAGACTAGTCGGTGGCCTCCCTTCCCTTCCAACCTTGGTCCATTCTTCTCCTCTCCTTGCCTTTCCCCTCCCTTGGGCTTTTATTAGCTTTTGGATGGCTTGTATTGCTTGGTAGTTTTTCCTGGATGTGTGGCTGCTTTTGTTTGCTTTGTGTGTCTTCATTTCGCAGATTTGGAGTTCCTGCTTTTTGTTTTCTACTTGGTGACGACAAGGTGGGAGAGCAACTTATGTATTTCCTTTTGTGTGTATCAACTCTTTTTGAGTTTAGTGCAAGTTTGTAGTCTATAGTAACGAGAGTTTAAAAATAGTTGTAAGTTTGTGCGTTGATGTGTATTGTATAAGCTTGATATTGTTGTATGAGTTTCTGCATTAGAATTGGTTTAAGTTTATCATTTTATTTCAATTGCTTGTGACCAATTTATCAACTAAAATAGCTAATTCTTTTGGATTGAATAATGATGACAACACTGAAATTTTAAAAACAGTTCAAGATTAAGTTTAATTAAGCTTATTTTACAAATCACTACATGGAAATCTAGTTTCTTCTAGCAGCTGTTTAGTAATTAATAAAGTAGTTAACATAAATATTGTTTCTCTACTTGTACTAAACTGAATGAATTGTTCATTTGTTCCACTACATATATTTTCTGACCACAAACTATTTCTAACAACAGTGAAATTCTATAGTAAGAGATGAAATATTATAGTAGCTGCTACCACTACGCTCAATTAAACTTCTCAATGTTCACTTCACATATCGAAATTGATCTTCAATTTGTTCGGGATCGTGTTGCTCGTTGTCTGCTCCATGTTTCTCACGTTTCCACCACTGACCAACTTGCTGATGCCTTGACCAAGCCGCTGTCTCGCCATCGCTTTCACCTTCTCCGATTCCAAGATCAGCGTCACCAAAGGTGCCACTGTCTTGCGGGGGCGATGCTCCTCCAGATATCACGTCCATCAGCTAGGCAATCATGGGTTGAGCTGCACCAAATCTGAAATTATTATTTGCATATATGCACTGCTATCTTTATGCATTCTACATTATTAGTTTCCATGTAAAGTTCTCTGCAGACCTGTACGTAGTACACCAATACAAACAATATCAATGCAACACAAAACCCCCTTTTCAACCTCTGTTTTCTATATTAACTATATATATAACCAAGTTTGTACAACATGAACGATGAAGGGAACACACCCATCCCTCAAAGAAAGCTGGGTATTGAGTGGCAAACACAGAATAATACATCACAGTATCTTACTAGAAAGCTGGGTATTGAGTCAGCATATGTGAATTTAGGCTTGGGTTGTGGAGTCTCTTGCAGCAAGAGGCAACATGTCAGCACAGGACACACTGTTGGGGCACTCTTTCTCTACAATCCCCTTATCAATACTCCTTGCAAGTATAGATACTCTTCCATGCAGGATCTCACACACACCCCACCCCAAAAAGATGCTTCATTCATCTGGATTAGTTTCTTGACCCAAGGCCCAACGACCACAATGGAAAATTGAGCCGATATTTATTTGCGACTGGGTCCAATCAACACGCCCAATTTGAAATTGGGCCCAAATGTGCCGGACAAATAATATCGAGAAGCGAATTTACTGATTTGCCCCTCACACAATAATGTCGCGTTGCGATTCCATCACCGCCCAACTACCATTCCAAAAACGCCATATAAATATAAATCAAAGCCTATATTTGTCATTTCCAGCACTCGCCACCCATAACGCATGCGCCAAAGCGTCCACGTGTCTCCCTACTACCACAAAGAAACACAAAGCGTCCACGTGTCTCCCTATTACCACAAAGAAACACAAGGAAACACAGATATGGCCTGGTACAGACTTTATCTCTATTTCCAGTCATCCTTTGATGTTTTGTAATGGCTTCATCAGAATTCTTATCAGCATGTTTTTTTTTCTCGATATCTTTGATTAATTTGGTGTTTGCTTTTATGAACTAATGAAATACCAATGGTTTGATACATAATAAATTTTCCGTAAATAGAACCTCACTATAAAATGACTCTTAATATTTGATGATGTCATCGGGATCGGTTGCTAGACTAGACCCAAGTACAAATGGGGACTTTGATAAATTGGGCTAATATTTGTTTGCACAAGGGTCCAATTCAACAAACCCAACTTGAAATTTGTTCCAAATCTGATATTTAACATATGATATTTGTGTTTTTCTTTTGTTGCCAAACGATACTATCATCCATAAAAGCTTTACGGCTTAATTAGAATAGTCACATAGATAATCAATCATTTGAATTCATACTCCAATACAAATAAAGACCTAATAAAGGTTTCAATAGGGTACTTAAGAAATGAAACCTTCAACTTAAGGGAATAATCCTAACACAATTTAGTCTATTTGGATGTACGTCGGTTTGAAATCAATCTAATTTAGTCCATCCGATCCAATACAAATTGGATTGTGATTTTTTCAATCCAATCCAATCATATTAGATTGATGTTTAAACCTAATCTAATCTGATCCAATTAATATTGGATTGGATTAGCCCTCAGCTTTAGCCCTAAGCGCAGGCTCCCTTCACTTTTTTTCTAACCTCTACGTACTCATTAAGACACATGACTTTCTCTTTTTCTTTTTCTTTTTTTATTCTCTCTCCACCACTCTTCTTCTTCCTCCTCTCTCTTTTCCTACTAGCGTTGCGTCACTCCAGCCTACAAAACATAATGAACTTAAAAAAGAAAAAAAGAAAAGGAAGTTAGTTTGTTGATTGTTCTTCTTGTCACGAATGATGAACAATATTAGCTCTCAGCTTTAGCTCCCTTCACTCTTTTTCTAACCTTTATGTACTAATTAAGATATGAATTTCTCCTTTTCTTTTTCTTTATTCTTTCTCATGCCGCCACTCTTCATCTTCGTCTTCTCCGTTTTCCTAAGAGTGTTGTGTCGCTTCAGCCTGCGAAACAGAATGTAATTAAAAAAGGGAAAAAAAAGGAAGGAAGGAAGTTTGTTGTTTGTTCTTGTCAGTGATGATGAAGCTCTCAGCTTTTTTCTAACCTCGAGGCCCTACGTACGTGCTAAGACATGCATGGAAAACACATTCTGATCTTTTTCTTTATTTCAATATTCTATCTCTCTCCGCTACTCTTCTTCCTTTTTCCTGTTCTCTCTTTTCTTTCCATCTATATAAGTTTACCCGTTTTCCCTCTCCTTGGTCACTCTTCTTCACTCTCTCAAATTCAATCTCAACTAGTAAAACCAATTTTCATCCATTCATTCATTCATCTGACCTCGTCATTAACTTTTCCCAACATCCACTCAAAAAGTGGAAGCTGATCAGTACTTTGTCTTACGCACAACCAAAAAGAACCACATGGATCGCACCACTTGGACTGATCAGACTCCGTCAGCATCGGTCGAAGTCGTTAACCAGGAAGCTGCTGCAACAAACATCAAAACTGATGAAGCTGCGGCAACAGACGTCCCAATTTTAATGGGCATGGATCTAGATGTTTTCAACGCTGCAAAAGAAGGCAAAATTGATGTCCTCAGGGGACACGATCCGCAGCATCTTAACCAAATATTGACTCCAACCCGTAACACAGTCCTCCATGTTTATATCGCTTATGCAAGCACCCCAAAGCTCGTCAAATCTAAAGAAGAAGCGCCGATCAAGCCAACCAGCTTTGTGGAGGATATCCTTCAGATTTGTCCGACACTGCTATGGCAGCAAAACGAGAGCGGTGAGACTGCCTTGCACATGGCGGCCAAACATGGGCTTCCTGAAATAGTTGAACTTCTCATCCAAACTGCACAAGCTCGTCGTTGTGAAGACCTCGAGCATGGGGCTGCCGCCTTCGCCTTATCATCATCATCAGAAGAAGAAGCAGCCTGCTGGAAGATTTTCATAAGGACACCTAGTAAGGAGAAGGACACAGCCTTGCACGAGGCAGTGCGGTTTAAGCACCTTGGTGTGGTGGAGATATTGATCAGAGAAGACCCTGACTTTGCCTACCCTCCTAATGTTGCTGGGGAGACTCCACTTTATTTGGCTGTCGAGAGGAGATACAAAGCTTTGTTCTCCGAAATACTTCGCACTTGCAAGCATCCAACTTACCAAGGCCCCAATGGAAGAACGGCTTTGCATGCTGCAGTGATTTACGGTGATGAAAGTAAGTATATATAAATATAATTAATTCTTTCCCCTTTTTCGTTCATTTTCCCAGCAAACTAGCATGGGTATACGTATATATTTATAAGATTATTATTATACACTGTTTTTACTTTTGCATTGATTAATTATTCTTTTTATATACTTTTTAGAAATGACGGAAGAAATACTGAACAAGAAAAAGGATTTGGCGATAGTGACAGACGAAAAAGGATGGACCCCACTTCACTACGCTGCATTCCATGGTCATGCGTCAATTGTTATACAACTACTAGAAACTAATAAACGCAGTGCCTACATGGGTGACGAAGCTGATAAGAAGACTGCTCTTCACATTGCAGCCTCCAAGGGCCATGTTCATGTAATGAAACAACTTATTTCCTATTGTCCTGATTGTTGCGAAGTGGTCGACCAAAGACGTCGAAATGCTCTTCATTATGCCTTGGAGAAGAGTCAATCTCGAATTATAGATTTTGTTATGAAGGATACATGGCTTAGCAACGTCCTTTTAAATGCCAAGGATGATGACGGCAACACTCCATCTACTTAATGCTCCTCTCCACAACCGGATTCCTTTGATTACTGATGCTAGGGTTGATAAGATGGCATTCAATAAGGAACACATGAACGCTCTCGATGTCATTACAGCTAATGATAATTTAAAATATAAGGTATGATATTTCATTAAACAATTGCTTGTGTTGTGTGTGACAGTACATGTTGGAATCATGAGCAGTAATTTAGCCTATTTACTCTTCAAAGCTTTGGATTTGGGTATCATCATGTAGACTTTTTCATTTAAGTACTAGTTATGGTTAGGTTAAATTAATAATCCCTCGCCCTCGGTTATTAGTTTAGGTTATGATTTGTGTCAGAGACACAACTGAAAAATTGCACCACTATCTCTTTGGTCTGTGTTGCAGATATTTCTCAAGCATGCTTTGAAAAGGAATGGTGCAGTATCAGGCCATCGAATCCTAAAAGAAAATGATCACGATGGCCAGAAGTTAAAGGAAAACAAATGTGGTGAAGACACTGAATTGTATAAAAACATAAGAGAATCCCATCTGATAGTGGCTACACTCGTAGCAACTGTTACATTCGCAGCAGGTATCACCATGCCTGGTGGTTATTACCAAGCATCAGATCAGGGAAATGCCATGAGTAACGTATCACAGCAAAATGTTACTGGCCCGGCCCTGGCCCTGGCCCCGAGCAATGGACCAACTCCGGGTTATGCAGTTCTGACAAAAAATACAGCTTTCAAATTCTTTTATATAAACAATATGTTCGCCTTGTGTTTCTCTACTTATTCTGTCCTTATGCACCTTTTCATATTGACACTCCCTGAGGGAAAAGAGCGGTCCAAAAGGTTTTGGCGTTCTATTATATATACCACTATACTGTCTGTAGTCGCAATGATGATTGCATTCACTTCAGGCACATATGCAGTCTTAGGTGATTCTCCAGAACTTGCCAAATCGGGTTTATTTGTTGTCGCCTATGTGCCCATTTTATTTGTTTATGTTCAAAGTGCTTTTGTTCTCATGAACCTACGCGGAGTTGGTTATAAACTTACCCGCTTGTTTGCGATAATAAAAAGTAGACGTTACATCTTTTGAGACTAGTCGGTGGCCTCCCTTCCCTTCCAACCTTGTTCCATTCTTCTCCTCTCCTTGCCTTTCCCCTCCCTTGGGCTTTTATTATAGCTTTTGGATGGCTTGTATTGCTCGGTAGTTTCTCCTGGATTTATGTGGCTGCTTTTGTTTGCCATGCGTGTCTTCATTTTGCAGATTTGGAGTTCCTGCCTTTTGTTTTATACTTGGTGACGACAAGGTGGGAGAGCAACTTATGTATTTCCTTTTGTGTGTATCAACTCTTTTTGAGTTTAGTGCAAGTTTGTAGTCTATAGCAATGGGAGTTTAAAGATGGTTGTAAGTTTGTGCGTTGATGTGTATTGTATAAGCTTGATATTGTTGGATGAGTTTGTGCATTAGAATTGGTTTAAGTTTATCATTTTATTTCAATTGCTTGTGACCAATTTATCAACTAAAATAGCTAATTCTTTCGGATTGAATGATGACAACACTGAAATTTTAAAAACAGTTCAAGATTAAGTTTAATTAAGCTTATTTTACAAATCACTACGTATGAAAATCTAGTTTCTTCTAGCAGCTGTTTAGTAATTAATAAAGTAGTTAACATAAATATTGTTTCTCTACTTGTACTAAACTGAATGAATTGTTCATTTGTTCCACTACATATATTTTCTGACCACAAACTATTTCTAACAACAGTGAAATTCTATAGTAAGAGATGAAATATTATAGTAGGTGGTACCACTACGCTCAATTAAACTTCTCAATGTTCACTTCACATATCGAAATTGATCTTCAATTTGTTCGGGAGCGTGTTGCTCGTGGTCTGCTCCATGTTCGGGAGCGTATAGATACTCTTCCATGCAGGATCTCACACACACCCCACCCCAAAAAGATGCTTCATTCATCTGGATTAGTTTCTTGACCCAAGGCCCAACGTCCACAATGGAAAATTGAGCCGATATTTATTTGCGAATGGGTCCAATCAACACGCCCAATTTGAAATTGAGCCCAAATGTGCCGAACAAATAATATCGATAAAGCAATTTACTGATTTACCCCTCACACAATAATGTCGCGTTGCGATTCCATCACCGCCCAACTACCATTCCAAAAACGCCATATAAATATAAATCAAAGCCTATATTTGTCATTTCCAGCACTCGCCACCTATAACGCATGCCCCAAAGCGTCCACGTGTCTCCCTATTACCACAAAGAAACACAAGGAAACACAGCGAAACGAATCCCAACCAATGGATCGACAGCACAGGGATTGCTGAGGTGGCAAATCATTTTTCAAAATCCCGCCTAAACCCGGACTTCAATTTTTCCGTGAAACGAAATTTAATTTCCGCCTTTTTATTTTTATTTTTGCGCCCCTAGCCCCTACCCCTTCTTATCTCTTCACACACACCTGTGCCAAAATTTACACACGCACCGCACCAAACAAAGCAAAGCCCCCCAAAGCCAAAGGCATCATATATCTCAATACTCTATTCTCCTCGCTTTCTCTCTGCGTCTTCGCCTTATCTTCTTCTCAAGCCCTAGCCCCCCTGCCCAAAGGTAAACTCGTACGCTTTCGGCACCGACTCGGACCGAGTTACCTCGGCCCTCGCCGTTCTCGAACGATTCTCATCGTTTTTTGCTGTTTTCTCTGCAGGTTCGCCTGAAAATGGGGAAATCCAGAGCTGCTGCTCCTAAAAGAACCGAGACCAAGTGAGTTTCGATTTTCGTTTTCTTGTGAATATTCTGCGATTCGATCAGAGATCTCAATTTCGTACGTCAATTTTGCTCTTATTTTTGTGCTTATGTGCTCAATTTTGTTGTTTGTTGAATTTGCTAGGTTAAAGACCAAAAGTGCTGGAGCGAGTAAGAGGACATCGAAGAAGGCTGGAAAGGATCCAAACAAGCCAAAGAGACCTGCGAGCGCCTTCTTCGTTTTCATGTACGGTCAACGCTTTTCTCTCGAATTTTCGTTTTTAGATCGGTCGTCTCGTTTATTTTCTCTGAATTTTCGTCTTGTTTTGAATTATCTATAGGGAGGATTTCAGAGAGAAGTACAAGAAGGAACATCCTAACAACAAATCTGTCGCTGCTGTAAGTGAATTTCATTCTTTTAGATCTACGGGTTTGATTTCATCCATACTGAATTTTCTGTTAAATTGACAATGTAATTTTTATTTATATCCATTTTTCTGTCGCTTTATTGGAACAGGTCGGAAAGGCTGGTGGTGACAAATGGAAATCTTTGTCAGATGCTGTGAGTTTTTTGGCCAATCATTTTGTTTTTCCAGATTGTTTTGTTAATTATTTGAATATTCTGCGACTGTTTGTTTATTGGCTCCTGAATTTTAAAAATTATTCAGGAGAAAGCTCCCTACGTAGCCAAGGCAGAGAAGAGGAAGACTGAATATAACAAGACCATGCAGGCCTACAACAAGAGTATTGTGAGTGCTCTTCTCTTCAATTTCTGGCAATTGAGTTTTTATAATTTGAGCAATTTGTTGAGAATTGGTGCTTCATTTGAAATAGGCTGAGGGAGGCAATGGAGCAGAGGAGGAAGAATCTGATAAGTCCAAGTCTGAGGTGAATAACGAAGAAGAAGAAGATGATGAGAGTGCAGAGGTTTGCCCTCCCTCTCATTATTCTGATAATCAAGCTTTCTCTGTTCATTTTGGTATTTGATTAATTTTTTGATTGGTGGGATTAATTTTTTCTGTTTGGGTTTTATCTTAGGATGAAGATGATGACGAGTAGAGAAGGAACGCTGGAAGGAGAAGCAATTGGTGTAGGATTGCTTAGAAGATATTGAATGACCTGCATTTTCTGAATTTTAGCTGTGTCTCATGATAAAATAGCTACATTTTTAGGATAGGGAAGGAAAAAGAGAAAGGAAAAAACAACCAAGGGATTAAGTTTCAGGGGGTCTTGTAAACCTGATTTCCCATATCATCTGTACTTAATTAATGATCCTTTTTATGTCCAAATGCTTTCTATTTTGCGATATAATGCGCCTTCTTTGAATTGCTTTTTGCATATTTTGGTTTGGTGGTGGCCGAGCCCCATGCTTGTCTAGTATTCATTGTGGTTGATAGAGTTGACAAACATATCTTGCCTTCCAATGACTTGGGAGTGGGAATTTTGTCTGCTTTTGAGCTTTGGATTTCGTATCATTCTCTTCATTGCTCTATCTTGTTTTATGCGATGATGATGATGATGGCTTGACTTGAATCTAATGGTCTCTTTTGACCTTTTCATCCGGGAACCAGTAGGATTCATTTGTGGTTTCTCTGTTGGACCATCCTGTCAGTATTTTGCACAACTTGATTGTCAACTCTGCAACTTTACAAATGATTCTCGTTTTGATGAGAAATACTTCCCAAGCTCTGTTGTATTGTTCCGTTGAACTCTCCCCTTCTAATAAGTTACATGAGAGTAGAGAGGTAAGAAGAAGGGGATGATGCAATAGTAAAAACAAATGTTTGGCACAATCGTTCTTCTAGTCTCTTCCCACACTTCTGTATTTTATCCGAGTTGTGGTAGTAGGGGATAAGGAAGCTGCTACGAGTTGGGAGACATTGGTGACCCTGCGTTCGCTGGTGAATTATGTTATGTGTTTGTTTGTTTTACATTGAAAGGGTTCACAAGTTTTGTTTCTCCTTTATCGATCGAAATAGATTTTATCTTTTATCTATCGACATAGACGTTTATCTTTTATCGATCGACATATAGATAATGAACTCAATTAAGGCACCAAATTTAGAGATACAGGAATTTACCAGAAAATTTGCTTTAAAGTGGAACTGTCTCCTTGCTTGATATTTACCAACTACTTTGATTGGTCTGTACTACCAACGGCTTCTAAGCCATCCACGGGATTTAGTAGCCGCTGTGTAGTAATCTCTTTTTGCATTTCTATCTAGTCCTGTTTTAGGGTAGTGCTGGTTTTTGTAGCCTCTTAGTGGTGTGCCTTGGGGGGGCCTATTGCTTCATAGTGTTCTTCGTTCCTGGCTGTGTACTTTGTTTCTTCGTTAATAAAATCGTTTATCTTCAACCAAAAAAAAAAAAGAGGGCTTCTAAGCCATTTCAGATTTTCATTCTCTTGCTCTGGGTTTTACTTCGGTTGCTTCTCTGCAACTCGATCGGATTCAAAGCCCAAGTCCACCGTTCCCTGCGATTGGGTGGCCCTTGTTTGACTAGGGTCCATTTCTCAACAGCCCATTTTGAAATATCTCAACTTTTCTTTATGGTCAAATCCAATCAGAAATATCTCAAGAGTTGAAATATCAGGCATAGAGTTTTACCTATTTGCCCCCAACACAATAATATCCCGCACTAATACAGCTGTTGCGTACTACACGTTTTATTCTAGCGATTCGATCAGTCTCAACCACCAGACCATAAGTCCTCAAGGGCCAAAATATCAAACCCCAAATTCGTCATTTCACAAATAACCCCGCACGTGCCACCGCTGCCACATGCGCCCGAACGTCCACGTGTCCTCCAAGCTCGCGAAGAAACACACAAGGAAACACAAAGCGAAAGGCCAACAGCAAATGGAGAGAGGGCGCACGGATAGCTGACGCGGCAAAACATTTTTGAAATCCCGCCTAAACCCAAACTTCAATTTTTTTTCGTTAGTCGAAATTCAATTTTGCCCCTTCTTATTTTTTTTAGGCTGCACGAGGCCCCTCTTCTTATCCCTCTCGCTCCTCTCGCAAATTTCACACACGCACCGCACCAAACAAAGCGCATTCTCTCTTTCTTTCTGCGTCTTCGTCTTATCTTCGAAAACCCTAGCCTTCCACCAAAGGTAAACTCGGTCCCCTTGCGGCACTGACTCGGTCCGAGTCGCTTCGTTTTTCATCGTTCTGGAACGATTCTCACCGAGTTTCGGCTTTTTCTCTGCAGGTTCGTTCGCCATGGGTAAAGCCAGAGCAGCTGCTCCCAAACGAACCGATACGAAGTGAGTTTCTGCTTATTTCGTTGTATATACGCTGCGATTGTATCGGTTAGATCGGAGATCTGCGACTGTTTGGCTACTTTGATATCTGTTGTGCTTATGGATTTTGAAATTTTGCTTATGGTTGAAATTTTCAGGTTGAAGAGTAAGAGTGCTGGGGCAAGCAAGAAGCCAGCGAAGAAAGCTGGAAAGGATCCAAACAAGCCTAAGAGGCCCGCTAGTGCTTTCTTCGTTTTCATGTACGGTCAACTCATTTTCTCTCTCTTGGCTTAAGTTTGAGATCTGACTTTTTCTTCGTTTTACTTGTTCTTAATCTTAATTTCCTGATTTTTTTCACTTTTATTTGTGTTATATATAGGGAGGACTTCAGAGAGAAGTACAAGAAAGAGCATCCAAACAACAAATCGGTTGCCGCTGTAAGTTCATCTCAACTTCTCAGATCTACTCATATACTTTTCGCATCACCATGATTTTGTCATAAATTGATAAGAATATAATTTTGCATGAATTAATTTTGATTTTGTATTGAAATCAAACAGGTCGGTAAAGCTGGAGGTGATAAATGGAAGTCGTTGTCAGAAGCTGTGAGTGTTTGGTTACGAGTTTATGGTCATTGATTTGTTAATTGCTTAGTCTTTTGTTTATTCTGTTGAAGTTTATTGATCGTTTTCGTTTGTGTACAAATTGATTTTACAGGAAAAGGCTCCCTATGTAGCCAAGGCAGAGAAGAGGAAGGTTGAATACAACAAGAACATTCAGGCCTACAACAAGAGATTAGTGAGTGCTTGTTTTACAGTTCTTGTGGTTTCGATTCTATAGTTCAATTATGTTGAGGATTTTGTGAGAATAATTGTGGCTTAATTTGGGTGAAATAGGCTGAGGGCACAAATGGAGCTGATGAGGAAGAGTCTGACAAGTCCAAGTCTGAAGTGAATGATGATGATGAAGACGAGGACGAGAGCGGAGAGGTCAGTTGTGACTCGGCTAATAAAGTTAATTAAGTACTCTTTGTTTCTTAATTGTGATTATGTGAGTTAATGATATGAATGTGTTGTGTTATAGGAGGAAGATGATGATGAGTAGATTGAAGGGGTAAAAGGAAGTGTGGAGGAGAAGAAGCAATATTGTGTAGGATTGCTTAGAAGATGTTGATTGACCTACATTTCTGATTTTCGCTGCTCTTTGTCTCTCATGGATAAATAGCTCTCTACCTTGTTTTAGGATTTAGATTAGGAAAAACAAAAAGACCCTAAAAGGGATTAAGTTTCAGGGATTCTTCTACCTGACTGATTCCTGACTGATTCCCATATCGTTCTGTACTTAATGATCCTTCTTATGTTCAATTATTTTCAGTCTGCTTTTTATCATATGGTGCCTTTCATTGAGTTTGCTTTCTGCATTTGAATGGTTCCCTTGGTTGGATCAAATATTGCTTGGTCTTCTCTTACCCATGACCCATTGTTGCATCTTGTTTTATGTGATGTGATCATATAAAAGGTTTGACTTTACAATGGACTTGCCTTGTGCATGTTGGAACAATTGGTTGATAGATTCTGTCAGTGTAGTTTTAGCATTTACCAGGATTGTCAACTCTTCATGCTTAGGGGGTTGTTCTGTGTCTTCGGTATTTTGGTATTTTTACTGCAATTGGGGGTTGGAAATTGCCAACATGTTTTGGATATGAACTGCCACAATGTGGGGGAGTTGAATCTGCAATTTGTGGTGCATTTCAGATGTTATGTAGCTTGCGATTTGTAGGAGAGACTTTGCAGTAGATTTCATAGAGGGTTTCTAGCTTTTTGGCTGAATATAGCTTTCGTACTTGTATTTGAGCCGTAAAATTTGACTTATATCGAGGTTCTCTCCGTGATGTTTTGTGATTTCGTCCAATTTCAAAATGGTGAGCAAAATATAATGTAGTTTCCGACATGCTGGATATATTGAAAGTAAAAACATGAAGCTTTTGTTTAGCTAAATAGAAGAAGACATGGGTGGAGTGTAATACGGCAAATGGCTTCATTGCGTTTTGACTTTTATTTAAATCATAAAAAACAGGGTAAAAATCACGATTCCATTTGTACTGTACCCGACATGAAAATATAATAATAATTAAGGCTTCAAGGATCAAGATGCTTTTGAAATACTGAAGAATTTAATTCTTTATCCTGAAATAATTAACACTTTATATCAAATCAACGCACTTAAAAATTGAATGTTTTAATCCGGATTTTTTTCCAGTGTTATAATGTTGTGTTTTCTTTTTCTTTAGTGCAAAGCAAGTTAATTATTTATAATTAACAATTATAATAATGGGCAACCAAATGACTTTCCAAGTCTCCTACTAACTTACTGGAGCCCAAGAGCCCAAGCAGTGAAGAAATCAACCGCGTAGTCTATCTGTCATTACGACCTGTCGTTCTCATAATGAATTTGCTTAGCTCTGTATATTTTCGACTAGGTGTGTCGTTTACAGTTTGTCGTGTTGGGTAAAAGCGAGAGAGAGAGAGAGAGAGATGGCAGTTCCCGGAAAATGCTTGCTGGTGACGGGACCTCCTGTAAGTTTCGAATTCTATCTCTCTACATTTTCAATATTAATTTCCAGCCATTCTTCATTTCAGAATTCGTATTGCCTTCTGTTCAATTTGTTCTCTCAATCTGCTTTCTTCTTTATGCTGATGCACAGGGTGTGGGAAAAAGCACTCTAATTATGAGAGTGTTTGAGACCCTAAGGGCCTCATATCCCAACTTAAAAATTCAGGGTTTCTACACAAGTAAGTTTTCAAATAAAATTTATTTGGTTGGGTTATGTTTTCTTATATAATAGATTGATGTAATTGTTTTCGAATTTGTACTTGTAAATTCTGTAGGTGAAGTTAGACGAGGAAGTGAGAGAGTTGGGTTCCAAGTGGTTACATTAGATGGCCGCACAGCTCCTCTGGCCTCCACCATTTCCAGGTCTTGTTGCCTCCTTTTCCTCTTTTCATCCAATCTCAATGACTCCTGTTCTTTGTTGCATTGCTTAGGCAGTTTCTCAAACTCCATAATCCATTGCTAAGAATGC